GTCTCTTCTCCCAATCCAATTCCGTAGAAAACGTTGGTCCAAAGACTGACGGACTATTAACGCATAATACGGAGGAGCACCATCCTGTTAAAAAATCAAATGATCTTCTTCATACATTTTCAATAATATCAGTCAAGACAGGGTCAATAGCGTCTTCCAGTAATTGCAAATACATTTGGCCAGTCAAATTGCCAGGTAGAAAAAATGACCCACCAGCCGGTCACCGCAAAATTCCAGCCCATACATTTAATTTTTCCAGTTGCTGTGTACGCACCTCGTGAAAAACTCTTGGGTTTGAATCGGACCAATAGCGGCAATTGTGACGATTTACCGCCCGGTTCAAGAAAAAACTGCATTCATCAGAAAAACAGATGTTAAAAAGGAACTGTGGATCGTTCCCTGCTCGCTCACTCATTATTTCGCAAAATTGCAAACGGCGGTCATATTCATCCTCATGAAGTTAAATGTATTTTGTATGGATTGAATTTATTCTTCTTCAAAATGGTTTGTATGCTAGTTCGATTGATCCCAGACGCAGATGCCAGCTGCCTCGTACTTAATGTAGGATCAAGATGAACTTGTTTTAAAACTACAACTTCACTAGCTTCATTAATTATAGGTTTTTCAATTTTTCGTATTTTATTGACTACGTTCCCCGTCTTGAAATTTTTTTACTAACTCTAGAACATACTTCCTCCTGACATGTCGATCTTGATGTTGGTCATTAAATAGCTGAGCTGTTCTATTCGCATATTTATTGTTCATAAAGTCAAAACTACCAGCAAAGAATGTCCCCCTTTAATCTAAAATTGACGGGTCTGAGCGTTTTTCTACAATCTTGACGCAGTTCCTGAAAATGGCTCTGTATCGTTTTCATTTGGCCCCCCTGTATAACAGATAACAAATAAGAAATTCTCTGAACGCCGCGCCGTACTGCTCCAGTTTTTCAAGCATATCCAATGATTATAATTTATTTTGTACAATATTGCTCATTACCACTTATTTGTCGCTGTCTTAAGGCGGGTATCCATTTGTGTCAAATGCCCCGTAACGTAACACGGAACATGTTACGTTATAGCTAGTGGAGACGGAAAATTGTTGCATGGTACGTGTAACAAATTTGACACGCGTAACTGATCCGGGACGAACCATCAGTTGTTGGTTTTTAGTCGTCGCATCAAAGGGATGCAACAGTTGAGACGGGGATACCCTTTTGGCCGTAACTTTGCCTGTTGCACATGTGATTTTGTCTTATTTTTTGTTTCGTCAGTCTTTTGTATATGGTCTAGGGTCAGTCTGTTTTCTGCAGTGACTAAGAAGAGTGTGTTTTTCTATGTTTATGCCATGGAGTGGAGTAAAGAAAAGATTTCCGGAGATTTCCTTTTCTTATTCTTCAAAATTGTATGATAAATAAAAATATATGACGCTGCTGATGACTGCAATTCCAGTGACGAATTATTGCAGTCAGGTTCATACTGCGAGTTTATGTTCCTGTGTCGTCTCGTAACTTTAATTTGTTACGTTACGGAATGAATGATACGACCAAAACCACAAATACTTTCGCAGCGAACCGTGTCACCTTTTGCAACAGGCCGTAACATGTTCGTTGTTACGTTACGGAGCATTGCCACAAGCGGATACCCGCCTTTAAATGACGGACCAGACAGACTGAACGTTAGCTGTAGCCAGAGAATCTCGTGCTGCTGTTAACAGATCTAATAGAAAGTTAATTATTCTAATATAAGTAAACATATTGGCGGGCTTCTACCAATACTGAACAAATCGATAAGAAAAATTCAGATCTACCAATACTTGGTCGATCGAAGTACCTAGTCCATTACCTACCAAAGTTGCTGGCGTTTTAAATCTATTAGAAGCGAAAATTCTGCGCGAAATAAGTTCTTTACGTGATTATTCGGAGGTGCAGTTTTTATTGAAAATCCATCACGGGGGCTCTAACGGCGGCTCCAATATCGACCTAAAATTCAAAGGACAGTGCATTACATTGTGATGGACGATGTAAATAGAGTGCACTGCTTATTAGCGTCGGCGTCGGCCAATTTTATCAGGAAATTAATTTAATTAGAGATAAATCGAACGGCTTTGTGCCTCTCCAGTAAATCTTTAATAAACCCATCGCTATATTCCATCGGTACATTATCTGGTTTTAATTAGTTTTAATGCTTGTGAGTGCCCTGTTTGGCGTTTATTATTATTACCGGCTCAAATGCCTGGCATGTAATTACTTTTGTGAAGTACGCGTTCATATAAACTTGACAGCTGTTTATTTGGGTGTATATTATGAAAGGCTCGTGTTAGCTATCTCTTTAGGCACGACTTATTAATGAATTCGAAACCGGTTCAGAGAACCGCTTTATGAATATTGTGTTGGAAACGTTTATTACGAAATGCCGAATCCAAAATTACGCTCATGTCGAAGTCACTGCTCTGTGACATTCCAGTACTTTGATTTTTATATCCTTCTAAATTTCAGATAGTTTCCAAGATTTTCAGATTTTACTCAACTTTCCAATTTGACCTACCAAGTCGTCTGTGGATATGCGTGGAAAATCCAACCACAAGTAGCTGTGGATGCTCGGAGACATGTAGCCGATCAGTGAAGCAAAAAACGCTGAGAGGATCTAAATTTTTACCAGTGTTTCGAATTCAACCGCCGAAATTTTCCACAGTCCCGTAAACCACTCCAAACACCTTAAGCCATAGCAGGCAATGTCAACGAAGGCCGATGCTATTGCAAGAAAATCACCTCAATTTCGAATTTTCAGAAATAAGTAGTTTTCCATACAGGACGAAATTCGAGCTAGAACACGACGACCAACAATACAGACTAGCCAGCCAAGATACCCGTAAGGGTCAATAGTTCTAGAAATTGGTGAAATCCTGCAAAGCCGAATGTGTAATCTTAAGGCGAAGATCCCTGCAGGAACACGGCGGAGTCGCCATGCGGTGTGATCGAATGTCAACTATGGTATTCTGCAGTTTATGATCCTGGCCCGTTTTCAGTACGACTCTACGGTTTCAATCTACTCAATTCACTTAGTGTCAATGAAGCATTGTCACTAAACCCAATTTTTACAATTGAAACATTGTTAAAAACTTTTCGAGCGCACAAACTCGGTGAAACCAGTGTCATTTTGAAGATGTAACCAGGTTATAGGCAAGCAACACAGGGCGTTTCTTACTCTTACCAGGTCTAGAAACAATACCAAAAGCTCAACTAGATAGAGGGAACAGCAAATTAGGTACTTATTTATTCAACTAAAAGCATGATTCTTCATTAGAGTAATGGTGAAAATGTAACACTATTTCTATATTTCACAATGAACTGACATAACTTACAACTTATTTCGGTATTTATGTTTTTTAATCATAATCAGCAGAAGTTCTACTTGTGAATAAGCCACTTATAAAATTCTTACAAAAATCCCTTATAGCTGTTTAACATTGACACAATTTATTGATGAATAAATTGACGAAGTTCTTCATGAATTAATTCACGAGTTATTGGTAAACAGTGTGGTTTTACATTACTACAGACTTTATTAAGTTTTTTGACGCATGAATCAGTTCTACAAACGATCAAAGAAGCAAATAAATTTCAAAAATGTCACCTTTCCACTCATAATTGTAGTGATACAACAGCGGTACCGTTCTGACACATATTATATAAATATTAGTTTTTGTAAGTAACAAATCAGTAAAAACAATGCAAAACTAGTACGACGCCACACAATTATTTACATATTCCAATAACATAACCTCATTACTGATCTGAGGGTGGAAATCTGTTGGGTTGGTACTTCCGAACTTCACGAAGAAATTGACGAAAATTAGAACATGCTCTAATTCGTCAAGAACTTGGTGAATAAATTCATGAAGTTGCTTGACAGCAGATTTGGTGCATTACACTAATCCAATTTCTTGATGAAGCGACTTCATGAATTAATTGATCAATAAATTGTCAATGTAAAACAGCTATTAGTAAAATTTGATTAACATTAATAGTCCAGTCATTGAAGGTAAAATACTGTATAATTTTCCCGAACAGCACAGATTTGCACCAAAATTTGGATTTAGATTTTACTTACCCTCTACTTCAAAGTTAACCCAGTGCCGGGCGTTGCTTTTTATTTTTTAGGGGTGAAAACTACCCCTATTCGAAAATAATTATAGAATTGTAGATTCGAGCATGTAACTTTATTTTCGTCATAACTCGCTTAGGTTTGATGACAGGGACTTTAATAAAAATAAAAGATTTTTTCAACCACTTTAAAAAAGGTTCTAAGACTATTCTCTGAAAAATGCATTGGTTTTTGGTTATTTCACAAACTTTCAATTTTGGCGTTTGACGAATAAGAACCAACCTTCAACAAGCTTGTATTGGGTCTACAGACATATACACCATTCTTTTTGTTTTTTATAAACTACATTTTTTATAAGAATGATGTTTTTGATTAAATACTTACTTTTTGAGTTATTCGCGAAAAACTGTCTGGAAAGGTGTTTTTTTTTTGTTAAAAAATTTACACTCACTCGCGAATAAGTCGAAAAGTATTGACTTTCAGAAAAAACTTTATAGAACGAAAGTTGCTTAGAATTAGTCAGTAGGTATATCCATTCCCATTTTCAATGAAACATTTTTCACCCCCGAGAAGGGGTGGCATCCACCTCCAGGATAAAAGCAACCCCCGGTACAAGGTTAACTTTGAAGTAGAGGGTAAGTGGAACCTAAAACAAAATTTTTATGAAAATTGGTGCTGTTTAGCAAAATTATACGGGAAAATAGTCATTGACTGGACTATAAGTTCTGTCTAACGCCCATAAACTCATTTGTTAACGACATCTACAGTAGTATTGCGGTACTTTCTTGGGTAAAGGAGGTTTCAATTTCTAATCTTAACAGCTGTAGACTAAAAAACGATTCAAGGGTATTTTAGCATAGGTAAATGTAAACAAAACAATAAATACATGGAACTTACCACTGAGCAAAGAATTCTGGTCCTAGGGTAAAAATCGGGGTGGTGGTTCTATTGTTTTCAAAAGAGTTAGTAAAAGAGAGTTCCGTGAAATTCTCCATGTCGTTCACCCGGAAATGCCGATGTAGCGATCATATCGTCTTCGCATTTTGAACCTGGAAATGATTGTTAATTAATGTTTTTCAATGTTTTTTTCGATTGGGCATTGTAATAAAGGTATTAATACAATTTAAATATTTTACAAATATTTTTTCCTAAAGTACCTTCTGAAATGAAACCAAACAATGTCCTACGATACCAGAAATTTAGTTAAAATTGTTAAATTATGTGAAGGTACAACAAATATTATTTGGTGCTAAACCTTGAAACAGCAATTAAATATTCGAAGGGTGTGATTAATTACTAACATACAGTATATAGTCTGTTTGGCTATAAAGGCCTCGAGCTATAACTCGGTTACCCATTTTTGGACACCCTGTACAGTATACCGTAGCACCATAAACTAAAGTCAAAGGCTGAAAGTTTTTTAATTTTTTCCCAAAAATTTTGTTATGCAAAGGCATACCAAATATCATGTTTGGAAAAATAAATCAAAACGTGCAAAAAATTTATACAATCCCATTTAAAATAATATCTGACAACCTCTCATCTACAGTGACGAAAAAAAAATTGTGCGTCAGTATAAAGAAAATAATTGTCAACCATAAATGAGCCAAAACAAACAGTTCTGCGCACATCTCAAGTTGGTAATACTATAACACTGGGCTAGTTTGCAATTAGTATTCGAAACTGGCGCAAATTTTAAAAACGTTATACATTTTTAGAAAATATCAAGCAAAGCCAAAAACTTCTCCGGGTAGTGTACTTGCACTCGTGACACCTGATCTGAGACGCGTATAATACACTAGTTTCAAGGATCAAAGTGACATATTATAGAGTTCGGAGTTTATTACTTTTATTTAAGGGCGCTGACTTTGCTCGCAATATATCCATCATTCCCATCAGCGAAACGTCTTTACGACTTGATAATAAATCCGCAGTCGCATAAGGCAGTCGAGGAGACGTAATGCAAGGTAACCTGAGCTGACAATGTGTAAGAATATGTGTTAGGAACATATGAAAGTTACGTAGTTTTTTATTATGTGGGGTTTTTCTGTATAAGGTCTCTGAAGAAAGAGCTGACGATAGTTTAGACAACAAAATCTTCTATATGGAAAGTGGTTTAAATTTTCTGTCTTGGTTTCTTAAAAAACAAAAAAAATAGGACTCATTTTTAGCTGCAATTGTTACTGGTGAAGATGGAAACTACGTTGAGAAGCCACTGCCAGAACTATAAAGCATAATAAACAGGGTCCGGCATTGCCCATAGTTCGGTCACCTGTCCCACCTCTCCGCCTTACATTTGCACCGAAATGTGGAGCTCTACTAATTGGAAGGATAAAATCATGGAGGTCTACTCTTGGTTGCAACGGAACATAACAGTCTGCTCCATTCAACAATCAACAATCAATTAGTTGTCGTTGGTAAGATGCTATTTTTTTAAAATTAGAAAATTTTGCATAGAAAACACTATTAAATTACATAACAGAAATTTCATGCAGTTGCTGTACCTACTAAGAACTTTAATGTACGCGGATTTCGAGCACCTGTGATGTGATTTATGGTGTGTCGCATACGATGGTCAAAACATAAAAATAATTGTCACGATAGGTCGACCATTGGCCGATTTCTGAGATGGCGTCGATATGACACACACAACATAGCTTTCTAACGAACATTTACGTTTCTAATAGGAGTAGCGGTTCGAATTTATACACGCAAGTACTTCTACGATCTGATATGGACACGGGACCACGTAACCTTGCATGGAAGGGCCTAATGTCCGTACCAAACAGTTCGGTTACAAGGTGGATTGCTTTTCTAAGATCTTCAAATTCAAATTTCTACTTTAAACTCTATTGAAGTCAAAAACACTATTTATTTCTCTTCAATCGTTGTGCTCCAAAATATCTTAAGATGTGATATGTGAGGAGGTAAATAGAACAATAAGTACTATCAAAACTCAAGCTAAAGGCTCTGATAATATTAATCTAAGGCTTCTTAGTATAGTTATGCCACACTTAATACCACATATTACATTTATCATTAATACATCTAAAGACAGGGACATTTCCATCTGCTTGGAAAGATGCTAACATATTACCTTTAGCTAAAGTTAATAACCCTCAAGATATTTCCCAATTTCGTCCGGTAAGTATACTCCCAACTATATCTAAAGTTCTTGAAAAAGTTGTGTGCTCGCAATTAAGTAGTTATTTATTAAAGAAAGTGATATTGCCCTTAACTGAGTCAGGTTTTAGAGGAAAACATTGTGCCGCTTCTGCACGTAACTGATGAAATGATAATAACTTAAACACATGCCTAATTTTGCTCGACTTCAGCAAAGCATTTGACACATTAATTCAGAAAATTCTTTTACAAAAACTCAAATATTTTGGACTTCATCCAGTTGCTATTTCATTTTTTCAAAATTATCTTTATGGTAGACGCCAGAGGGTTTTTCTAAATAATAAATTTTCATTTTATAAAATACTGAATAAGGGCGTACCTCAAGGTAGTATACTTGGGCCGATTTTATTTTCTATATGTACTGTTGACTTCGCCTCCTATTTGAAACATTGTAAAATACGCTGATGATACTCAACTATATTTTTCTTTTCACTTATCTTTTCTTCTTCTTTTCTCACTTTTAGCTTCGGAATATATCAATGAAGATTTAGATTCAATAACATAACAATGGTCGCGCGAGCACATCTATTATTAAATGAAAATAAAACCGAAATGTAATGTTTGGAAATAAGTCTGAAAATATTATAAAAGACCCCAATTTCAATATTATTTTGTGTAATAAAGTATTAACGTTTGCAAAACAAGTTAAGAGTTTAGGCTTGCGTATTGATGATAGACTGCGGTTTGATAATCATGTGACTTATTTAACAAATAAGTCATACTGTATCCTAAATGTGCTGTATCTAAGTAAAGACGTGTTAGGTAAATCTATTAAAATTAAATCATGTGCCACCCTCATTCTCTCACATTTAGCATATTGTGATGTAGTATATTGGCTTTGTTATCAAGAGATAAAGCTACTCTTCAGAGAATTCAAAATTGTTGTGTACGATTCTCTTGTGGATTACGAAATTATGATCTTTTTTTTCTTCAGTAAAATGGTTAACCTTAGATCAAAGATTTACCTCACATTTGGCAACTTTAGTTTACAAGATTAATACATTTAAGACTCCAAAATATTTATTTGATAAATTGAAAAAGGGTACCGATATTCATTCTCGTTCTACTCGACACTGTGGCTGGTATGAAGTCCCTAAACATAGTACTGCGCAATATGAACATTCTTTTCTATACCACAGATAAGCTATATTGTCTGTGTCTATTCAATGCTGTCAAAATTTGCAACTCCTTGCCTACTTATATAAAAATTCGATCTTCTTGGTATGATAATTATATAGGCCCACAAATAGAAATCGAAAAGTCCTTTTTCCCAGACTAGGTGACCGTGAAAAATGTTACGTCCGAATACGCTCCGACCTGTTGGTCGAACCGACCTCTGAAGGTCATCTAGAGGTCAAATCCTTCTTTTGATCTCTCGGCTGATATCTTAGCTGGGAATGACTCTCGAACCAGTTGACCCCCATGTTTTTGGGGTCGCTGATCACGATTCCGGTGTCCATATGACCCCATCACGTCTAGATCAAGGTCAAATGAAGGTCAAACGCATTAACTCGAAAGATATAATTTTTTTGACCCCGGATTCTGAAAGAACAGAGCCCAAAAACATAAAGGTCACCTGGTCTGGGAAAAAGGACTTTACGATTTCTGTTTGTGGGCCTGTGTAATCAATGGCTATAAGGAACGAAGAAAAATTTAAAAATGTTTTTAATTATGCGAAAAATATTACTAGATCAAGTAAACGGGGCAAAGTTGGAACGAATTAGAAATATTTTCGAGCTAAAAATGCCGTATTACGAAATTATAAATTGCATTTCCCCTCAAAATTTCCCGAAAAGTCGTTTGAATGTTTATTACAAATGTATCCAAACGTCTTTGAAATAGATAGGTAAAAAAACGAACTTAATATTTTGTACAGAGGCGAACATTTTCGTAATTTAGAAGTTCAAAAAACTGTAGAAATATACTGGAAATTTAAAATGGTATTTTTTATATTAGCAGATTAATAAAATAACCAAATAGTTTCTATTATTTATAAAATCTGAATGAATTCTTACCAAAATCCTTCTCGTCAATTTCGATAATATTGTAAATGCAATTAAAAATTTCTAGATTAATTTTTTAATCGTGTGACCTTGAAAACTTAAAAATTGTTGCCTCACCTATTCACAATGTGACGAATCGCCACTAATGTGACATAAAGAATATCTATTACATTGCGTTATTTGATAAAACATCATAGGTTAAAAGTATTTAAAGTGTTTAAATGCGATAAAAAATAAGAAGACAACTTTGCTACCTCGAAAACCGTGAGAGATAAAAAAAATTGGAATGGAAAAAATTGAAATTCCTCAGGGAACTGTACTTGGTCCAATTTTTTGGTCTCTTACATAAACATTTTACTAAATTTGTGTTGCTGTTTCGTATACAGACAATAAAGTTTAATAGTCCAATTAAATGAACCTTTAAATCGCAATTTGATCAACTTGAGGTGACAGTAATTTTTTTAACCCCCGGCCAGTTGTGAAAAAAGATAAAATGAAGAAAACTGTAAAGAGCTAGAAAAAAGTTTCTTATAAAAGTTGTAAACATATTCTACTTAAAAATAATCTATTGACTTTTATACTATTAAAATTAACAGAGTTAGGGTGGCTAGAAGTTAAGGGATGATTTCAGAAATTTAAATAAATCATAACAAGCAGAAAAATGAATGAATTTTATATTTTTTTCAATCTACTAAGAAATGTAAACTTTCTTTACAGAGAAAAAAATATATTTTCTAATTTTTAATAAAAAAGTTATAACAATTTCAATTTTTTAATTATCAATTTTTATGATTTAACACTAAAACAAT